ACTTCGTACGCTTGGTGTTCTTACCAAACCTGACATGATTGAGCAAGGCACTCATGAACCATGGTTAAGAATTATGAAAGGCGAGGCTCATAAACTTTCGTTAGGATATTATGTTATTAAAAATCCAAATAAAAAACGGTTAATGGAAAATATCACTTTCGAGGAAGCTAGAGAAGAAGAAATCGATGTTGGTATTTTAATATTACTTCTAATAACCTCATTCTATTCTAAGTCTACTGTGTATGTTACCCCAATAATAGTTCTTTGAAAATGAATCGCCATGGAAAGACAATTATGAATTTAACGAACGCATTGGCGTCAAGAAATTACAATCGAAACTTTCAGATCTGCTAATCAAAGCTATAATGCATGATCTTCCAATAATCAATAAAGAAATCCAAAGAAAGTTAGAAGAAGTATGTATTTAATGCTTTAATTATAAAATACGACGATGATGTGTTAATTAACTATTTATATTTAGACACGCAAGGAGTTGGAAAAGATTCCTGAGCCACTTGGTAAAAATCCAAGAGTCGAGTTAATCTATCTTATTGGAAAATGTGTAACAGGAATTAATGAAAGCTTAGATGACAACGCCGAACTCTGGTGCTTTATTAACACAGAGTTTATCAAGTTTAAAAAAGGTCTACGTTCTTCACGACCGGTTTTCGTAGTTGGCAAAGACTCTACGAGAAATATAGCCAAGTTTGATGTGCTAGAAAAATTTACTCACGATCCTAATGATCCCATACTAGAAGAAGGAATGGAAATCACCGAGGCTCAGATCACCAATCAGATTAACAAATTACGTGGAAGATCACTCCCAGGCACTACTCCGTATTCAGCGATAATTAAATTAATTGAGAGTAGTCAGGGTCAATGGAAAAATCCATCTCTTGATTGTCTGGATCGGGTATACTGTATTATGGTAAACTTGGTGGAAAAGATAGTGGATGAAACTTTTTCAAGATTCCCAAATTCACACGCACAAGTAAAGTATGTAATAATTTTTTATCCGCGTAGATTATTATTTAATATATTAAAAAATTCACTTCTTATTTATTAAAGGCTTTATACGAACAAATGGCTTGACAACTGCAAAGAAAAAACAGTCGAGCATATCGATTTTATGTTTGAATTGGAACGGGATAATAATCATCCATTCACTTTAGACAGCTCAGAAATGGTGGGTAAAAAGGTTAAATATCTTAACGAACTTCACCAAGCCGTAAGGAACGAAATGAGGCAACCTACGGACACCCTAGAAGTTATCGCATCCGTTATGGCATACTTTAGCATAGCGTTTAAACGATACGCCGATAATATCTCCAAGACTATTATTCACTCTTTTATTTACGGATTCACGAAGCATATCGAAGAAAAATTGGTGGAACTATTCATTTCTGGTGATAATGATTATGATATTGACGAATTGGTTAGAGAAGATTATAATATTAGTAGTCGTAGAGAAGAACTTAAAATAAAAGAAAAACATATGAGAGAAGTTTTAGATAGCCTTGTTAGATTTGGTTTGAAATAATGGATTCGGAATCATCATAATTTCATTGAGCAAGTCAACATCATCGAAGGTAAATTGCGTACATTATTAGTTACAGCATGTCGGTACTCTTAGGTTTTATTTTATATAATTTTATTAGTTCGGAACATAGCGAAAGGGTGTCAGAAAAATAATTGAACTTATTTTTTTAATAAATTTATGAAAATATTTTTTATAATCCTGGAAACTATATTTTTTTATTTCGTAGCGGTGGGAAACGGCGAGTCTGTCGCTTTCTCAGATCTCGACCACAACAGCTAAGTAGATCGATCCACTTTGCACTATTTAGATGAGTGGTTTCAAATTATTTCATCTTCGTCAGTTAGTCACGTATCACTGGCAAAATTAATATACAGTAAGAGAGATTTATTATACAGATAAATTAGATATGAAGTACACTTGTTCAAGTATTTTTATACGTGTTATTGATTATTTTAATTATTTTATTCTTATTTTTTTACTTATTTTATTTATTATTATTATTCTACTTATTCTTATCATAATATTCAGTATGGCATTATATAATACTATATATCATATTTGTTTTCTTATAATTTTTTTTTTCAACTAGTGAGGCCTTGCTCAACATACTTTATTTAGTTTACATGTGTATTTCTTATTACAAGATTTATTATCTATAAACTATTCTAGATACATGTTGTGCTATATCGAATTGTTTCATATTGGCTTGTTGCTATTGACTTACCTTTTGGCATGTGTCAAGGCTAACATGCCAAGGCTTCATTAGTGTTGTTATTATATGAATAATATAAATTGAAATTAACTATATTGTTTTTTCAATCCAATCAGTCCTTTATTAGTTTATCCTGCAATTTTTTTGCTCATATCTTTTATTAATAATATGCTTGTAGTGGCCTCCATACAGCCTAATACCTATTCATTAATCAGTATCTTCTACAATAAATCTTATAGACTATATATATTCACAAGTATTTATATATATTTGTTTATAGTAGGTTATAACTATATATAGGTAGTTACCTCTTCTCTTAATACTAAGTAGGTATCAATAATTGCTTGATACTATTTGACAAAATATATTGTTTTAAATTTTTTTTTTCAATATTGATAAAATGGTTACTGTAGGCAAGCTAGCATTTAACTTATTGTACTTATATATGAGAGATATTGTTTTTTTCACGATATATACCTTAACATATACAAACCAAATAAAGAAATAATGTCTATCTACAAAAAAAAAACCATATATAGATAGCTACATATATATTTATTCTATCTAATACTATATATAATTACTACCTTAAATCAAAATAATTAATCACTTTATCTTGTTTTTGAAAAAATGTGCAATTCCTTCTTAATTATTCCCAGGATAATTTTATTTGCATTAAGAGTAATCTAATTATCAGGCCATCAAATACAGTATCCTGAATCCTAAATTTTGATCCTTCAGAGTGATCCATAAATTTCTTCTTCTATCAAAGCCTTCCGATAGTAAAGTTTGTAAAAACAATATATAACCATATACTTGAAAATCAGTAAATTTATTAGCAGTTCTAATTTACCCTCATTGGATCATGAAAATCTCTTCTGATAATAGAAACATGTTATTGGTTTTGGGATTTACTCTTCTGATATGGTTGTATTAAGGATGATCTTATCTGATCTTGGAATTCAACCAGATCACAATTCTCCTATAGACTAGTAACTATATTTAGAATAATAGACACAGATCTTACCTGCTACTTTATTTTTATTAGAGTCTCATATTATTCTCCTAGAAAATCTTGAATCTGTATTTTGTGATCTTACCTGTGGAGCATTATTATAGGTATTATTTCTTCTTTTGACAATTATTATATTATTTATACATGTGACATAAATTATTTTGCTGTTGACTTAATTCCCAAAATTCTCAAAAATAATTGCATCATAACTCAATTATTTATATATTTTAATAGTGACTCAATTAATTGCATCAAATAATTATATCAATTGCATCAAGGATTTATGAATTTCAACAACATGTATAGTCTCCATACACAGGTTTCGACACTTAAAAAGAAACCTATTCAGCTGCTGAATGAATTTCTAGACTTTCACAACTTACTTCAAAAAGTCTTCATAAAAAACAGTCAATTAAGAAATCAAGTTTTACAAAAGGTCATGGTAAAAGGATGAAATTACTTCAAACATATTCTCTGGAATATGATCCAAATCAACAAAACCCTATCCAAAAAGCCCAAAACATTTTCCCTTACAAGAACATACCAACTGGAAAGCACTATCCTCTCAGGCGCAACTAGTACATTCTTTTTTAGTAAAGCTTCAAAGTTGTCAAATTCTCATATAGAATCGCAAAACAACTCCCTAGTTACCAATCAAACTATACAAACAAATATCATAACCACCCAATCACATTTCAACTTATATCAAATCAACATCCAATTAAATTTCACAGATACATCCACCAATTACAAACAGCTTTTCATCAAAGAATCATACAAGGATAAGTCATCCATGTCTATAGACTTGAACTTTCCCATCCCAGAAGATATAGACATGGGAAACACCATAGGCTCATACATATACCAGGAAAAGAAAAATAATCACAACAATCTCCTATTAGATACTTCTGTTATATCACAATTAACAACTATCCCTGGTCAACATAAACCAAGCCTCACATTTTCATGGTTCTTTTTACTTATTCTTAAAAGTGTCCAACCTTCCAGACAACAATGGAAGCAAGAACATTAGTAAAAAAAAGTACCTAAAAGAAAAACTGGATACAGCATACAAGAGACTCTAAGTATACAAAGAAGATCTCATCTTAAAACACTCAAGAATAGAAGATTATGACATAATCATTAATACTGATAATAATAAAGATAACCTAAATATTCTTGATGATCTTATCACAGAACACCATCGTATTATTCAATAGGCATCCAAACTCACCACAATCAGAAACAATTCAAAAGAACTTATTAAACTTCTATTAGATATCAATCAGCAATCCAAAGATGAAGTTAGACAAAAACCTTACTTAACCATCTTTGTTAAAATAGAGGCTAGGAATAGAGACTTTTTTAACTTCAATAAAACATTCGAACTCAAAGAGGACCATCAAAAAGAATATGAAAAGCTGGAAGACAGATTCCAAAAAATTTATAGAACCAAGTACAAAGCTACAGAGCTTAACAGAAAAGTCAGATCTAAGATCAAACTGTTACTAAGCACCAGTCTGTTTATTGCCTATTTAAGATATATTAATATCTTTGATCTCAACCCATACTTACTAGTACAAATTATGAAATATAGATGCAACTATCTCTGTCGACCCAGAGGAGACAGCAAGCTACATTATCATGAAATTCTTCAAAAAAGCAAAAAAATGGTTCAAGACAATCTTCTGCACTTTTCACTTCTCCAGACCTAATCCCTTTTCAAATAAATGTCAAAATTTCTTATAGAATTCCTATTCTCGATAGAAGCACTACAGCAAGTGTTATAAAATCTCTTCACTTCCTTTACAAATTTACTTTCCTTCTTAACTCGTACTTCATCACACTCCCAGATCTTCCAGATTATCCTTAAGATCTTTCCAAAGAAATCTCACATCTCTTGCCAATTAGAAAGAGAAAAAATCTCAAAAACTTGAAAAACATAATCAGAGAACTTAGAAATTTCTTCATCGTCCCTTCCAGAATCCCATCAACTTATTTTGATCTTCCACCTTCAAAAATCCTACTCCCTCCATCTCCCGACCAGCTGAATTCAGAGTTTATACAACTATTTCTACTTGATACATCAACAAACAGCATTAGAGATGTTGTCAAAACTTTTAGAATCAAGTATTATTTTGAACGGCTTCTGATCAATTTCTTCAAATCCAGAAAACTTCTTCCAACCTTTCCATCAACCATCAATAAATATCAATCTAAACTAGAAATTCAAATTCCTATCACAAACTCCCACGATACTCAGTTCTTAATCAAAATATTAAGATTTGAGTTCCATTTCACACTTCCACTAGGTTCATTATGGGTATCTCCTGAGATTGTCCAAACAAACAAACCAAAGCTTCCAAGGAGAATAGAGGACATCAAACCAGACCTTAATATTAAACAGCTTTTTTATAGCGATATTCAACTTAAGGAAAAATTCTACATAAATTCTATGAGTTTCAAAGGATTCCAGAAAACTGGTTCACTAATCCACAAGTTCCTTTGCCTGAAGATCTACAGGAAATCAATAAAATCCTATCAGACAAAAGCCTTATGACTCTCAAATTTCTCCTAGTTGACAACAATGCCTTTTCAACAGTTATATATCAACTCCACCAAACATTCCTATTTATCAAATTACCTGACTCCCTTATTATTAAAGAAACACTCCCAGAACCGGAGTTTGATCTCCTTTTATTCTTGTGTTAAATAATATGTTTAGCAATCCTAACATGCGTAACACAGTAATCAATTCTAACTTACCAAACACACAACATAACCTATCCATTCATAACATTACAGACACACTCTTCATAAACTCACCACAAAAATCTCCTGAACAGTTCACTTCAAACTATACAAGCCAATTCAATAATACAAAAAATCTTATAACACTAACTACCATCAACACTAGAGGCTTCAATGAGTTAACCAAACTCAAAGCTTTAGTGAACACATCAAACAACAGATCCATTCTAATGTGTACTGAAACAAAATTAAAGAAAGACGATTACCATCCAAAGAATATCAATGAAAGAACAATAATTTATGGCAATTCCAATGATGCAAAAAATGGTACTATGTTTATCATTGGCAAAGATCTATTGCCACATATATTCAAAATAGAAAAAGTTTCTGATTACTGCTCCTCAATTATTCTAAAATTCAGAAACAGCATCAACATACTACTAACAGTAGTATACCTTCTACATGAAAGAAAGGAAAAAAATGTAGCTCTTAAACAATTGCATCAAACAACCAGATTGGCTA